GGGGAGACTCCGTAAGATATTTTCCATAGAGGATGTAGTCTGTGAATAAAGGTAATTTTTTGCAGCCTGGATGCTTTTTCTACCTTACTGCACTGGCTAGAAATTTCAGTTGGATACTGAACAGATGTGGAGAGATTGCCTTGTTTCTGATCTTAGGGGAAAACGCTCAATTTTTTAGCAAGTATGATGCCAACTGTAGGCTTTCTGTGGATGGTCTTTATCCGTAGAAAAGGGTCCCTGTCCTTCACAGGAATGAAGGCTGAGTTTGTGAACTGCTTCTTTTCCACCTATTGGGATGATTGTTTTTCCTTCTGATATGATGAATTAATTACATGGTTTGATTTTCAAATGCTAAACCAACCCTGGATAAACTTGACTTGTTCAACATGATTATTTAATACACTGTTAGACTTAAATTGCTGAAATATTGTTTTGGAATATTTGCATCTATGCTCACAAGAGATGCTCTTGTTATGTGCCATAGAGTTGGTTCTGACCCATAGTGACCCTGTATAGGGTTTCCAAGGAGAGGCTGGTGAGCTTGAACCACCGACCTTGTTGTTCAAAGTGGCCTTGTGGTCTAATGCATTATCCCACAGTACCACACCAGGAATCCAAATTATCCAAAATATTCCATTATCCTTTTAGGATCTATAGGTTCTATGGTAACGCCATCTCTCATTCCTGATAATGGTTATTTACGTCATCTCTCTTTTTCTTCCTTCAGTCTAGCTAGAGATTTATCAAATTTTTAAAATTTTCTCAGAGTCAGCTTTAAATTTCTCTATTGCTTTTGTTTTTCCACTTTGCTCTTTATTGTTTCCTTCCTTCTGTTTACTTTGGTATAATTTGCTTCCCCCTTCCTCACTTAAGCTTCTTAAAATAGAAGCTGCAACTATTGATTTTATTCTAGGCACTTAAAAAAACAAACACCAAACCCATTGATTCTGACTCATGGAGACCCCCGTATGTATCGGGGTACTATTAATTTCCCTCTAAGGACTGCTCTGACTGCATCTACAAATTAAACTTTGTTGTTTTACCATTATCTTTCAATTCAAAAGTCTTTTGTTATTTTCCTTTTGATTTCTTATTTGCCCATGTGTTGTTTAGTTTTTAAATATTTGGGGATTTCTCAGATAGCTTTGTGTTTCTGTTTCCTAATTTAATTTCCTTGTGTTCAAAAAAACCCCCTTCTATGATTGTTGTTGTTAAGTGTCGGTGAGTCAGTTCCTACTCACAGTGACCCTGTATAGGGTTTTTGAGGAGCAGTTAGTGGATTCGAATCGCAGAACTTGTGGTTAACAATCCAGTGTTTTTTCTTACAGAGCCATATTCTGAGACTTTGTTTTATGGTCCAGAATATGCTATATGTTGGCTCTGCAGCTAGAGTTGGCTCCAGATGGTCTGGATCCAGGCTCAATGGTCTCACCCACTCCACTGCAGCTGCCTTATTTCTTTAACGAGTCCTTTTGCTTCTAGCTTCCAGGACACCCCTTTCCGCCATTGTTGGAGGAAGCTAGATGTATCCATCCCTAAGCTTTTCAGGGTCTGTGCCTGCTCCAGCAGCTCATCTTCCACAGTCTGCTCAGGAACTAAGCTTCTCTGGTTGCTTAAGTCAGTTCCAGGTTCCAGAATGCACTCTGTCCTTGTGAGGTTTTACCTTGAAAACAATTCCTTCTCTGTTATTTTAGCAGGAGTTCAAGGCAGACGCTAAGTAAATGCATACATTCAATCTATCCTCTTGAAATGAAAAGTCATCAAGTCTTATGGGAAGAGTGAAAGCAATGGAGTGACTGAACCTCAAGATGGGTCGTGTCCAGTGCCGAGCAGCAGTGCCAGTCTGTGCCGGGAAACCCTACTTACGATCTCACAGGGGAGTGAGCTGAGTAGGCCCCCAGCTCCTGCCTGGCATACAGGTGCAATCATTTACGAGGCTAGGCTAGGTCAGGAGGGGGTCCACCCGGTCTGGGATGGGGCCAGGCCCACTTTGGACAACATTTTTCTCGGTTCTTCGGGAAGCCATGCTACAGGGGACCATCAGGCAGATGATGCTCGTGGTGGAACAATCGAAAGTTCCTGAGGCCAAGGCAGGTGAGGAATGCTGCAGGCAGGGAACGCACCTCGCACTGGCCATGTCCCCCAAGAAAGGCACTGTGGTCTCCTTATCGGTGATGGTTCCATTTTAAGGACCACACAGCAGCCCTGCTGATGCATTGAACCACACGGGTATGAGATGAAAGGACAATTACCCAAAAGCCCGCTGGGTGGGTCTCCTCAGACAGCGGAGGCTTGTCTGCAGGCATTAGAGGGCCATCTGAGGTGGATGGCCACTCTGGCAGAAGTCCACCTGGGACTGGGTCTCAGGAAGGAGATGGGGCTTCTGGCTGCCAGCAGACAGCACAGACTCCCAGTCCCTTCTGAGACCCCAACTCACCTGGCAGCTTCGGCAGCACACAGGCCTTCCTAGGAACCTTGGGCTTGGGCACACACAGGGGAATGAGTTGCTGGGAGAACACCTGCTCAGCTGACGCCTCCAGACTGACCTTGGCTTGATCCTTGGCCTCTATCTCTGTGTGTCCTCACCTTTTCCCTCAGCTGATATTTTATGAGTGCCCATGGACAGTGGAGCCAGGAGTCTCTGGCTCAAGGGGATCTAAAGTCCCTATGAAAATAATGAGCTGAGTTAGGAAACGTACGGGTCTCTGTGCTCCAGGAAAGGCCCCACATACCAGTGCTGGGGCTCACCGGGCTCACAGCAACCCTGGTCCAAGTGCCAACTGCAGGTGGGACGCACCTGCAACTCAGCCAGTATGCTTAACACTGCACACCTGGGCAGCCACAAAGCCCCTCAGCTCAGAACCTCGCCCCACACGGACGTGCCAGGGTCCAGGAGACAGACTCAAGTGTGAGTGCAGAGCCTTTCAGGGGACGTGCATGGCCGCACAGAGGCAGCACTTCTGCACGCCGCCTTGCCCGCTCCACATTCCTGCCACTTCCACGGTGCCAGCCTGCAACGAAGCTTTCAGGGCCTGTGGCAGGTGCAGCCAGCACAGAGGGTGCCCTCGTCATGGCTCCAACTTACCTGGCAGCCGCTCAGGGTGCAAAGGGGCCCAGTGGGCCCAGGACCAGGTGCTGTTGTGGCTGCGTTAAACCTGGCAGCTGAGCATCCATACTGGGCCTTACCTTTGGTGTCATTGACGGGGTCCATGTGCCGGTAGATGTAGCCCTCCAGGTAGGAATGGAATTTGGGCGTGGGTGGGAAAAAGGCCAGGCAGATGGCCATGAGCTCCCAGCCACGTGCCAGACTCTCAAGGCGGAAGTTCTCTGTGGTCTGTCGGCAGAGCTGTATGTATAGCTCGTCCCGCAGGCCCTGCACGCTCCATCCCTTGGTGGCCACCTCCAGGGCCACGTGCAGGGGGTCGGCCTTGGCACGCCGGTCACCCATGTACATCTGGATGAGCTTGAAGATCTCACAGGCTTCCTTTTTCACATGTCGGTCGCTGGTCATGATCATGGGTTTCTTGATGGACTCGCTGCTCCAGGCCAGCATGTTGGCGATAGACACCTTGCGCCGGAAGAGGCCCTGTGTGTGCTTGTTGAAGTGCTTGGAGGCCCAGTTCTCGATGTCTGTCTCCGAGGAAGGTTTGCGCAGCGTGAAGGTAGGGAAGACACAGCTGGCACTGGGCATCATGCTGCGACCCTGCCGGCCACTCTCAAACTGGGCACAGGCACCAAGGTCCTCGGACTGGGGAGGGCAAGAAGACCATTAGGGGTGGAGTCAGCTGACCGCAGCCCAGGAGTGGGAGTGGCGAGGCGTGAGGACACCATGTCACTGGTCCCGTGCTCACTGTGTCTGCTGGGGAAGTGCTGCCCCTTCCCTGGAGGGGGCAGACAGCAGGCAGGGACCAGAGGCCACGGTTCCACAGCTACATGTCTGTCATCTCCAGACGCCTCGGTCTCTAGGGCTGACCCTTCTCTCAAACATTGCCAGAAGGATGTGCTGACCCCGAGTTACTAGGACCCTCCGTGTGGCGATGCCTGAGGCTGTGGAGAAGCTGGCCAGGAGGAAACCCAGCAACCCCCATCCCAGGTGGTGGTTCCTGTGCCACATGGGCAGGAGGTCAGAGGAAGCCTTGGCCTTCAGTTTCCAACAGCTCTGAGTCTGCTTAAGAGACCCCTGACCCTGCCCACAAGTGGAGGGACAGCAGCAGCAGAGGGCTGAGAGGGTGCTCTGTCTTGTGGGACCAACTTGGTCCCTTCCTCCATATAGCCACATCCCCCGCAGCCTCTGGGTGGTCCTGCACCCCCCGGCTTCTCAGGGACCATGCCAAATGTGAATGGTTCTGTCTGTACTCACACACACACCCGGGTGATTCTGAACACCCGCCCAGATAACCCTGCGTCCTGATGCCCCTTGACAACAATGGTCCTGTACGCCAACAATCCCTCAGATGATCCTGTACCCCCTACACTTAGCTACGCACCCTCACAGCCTCCCCGGACAACCTGACCATTAGGTCACCTGACCCTATGGTCTCTGCGCTGCTCTTTCTGGCCCTTTCCACCCCCCACCTTGGGGCTGGGAGTCTCAGCTGGATCCTGGGATCCAAGGTCAAGGATGCCTGTGTGATGAAGACTCGAGGAGCCCATCCCAGTTCCTGAAGGCAGGGGGCCCCAGCTCTGTGCCCGCCCTTTCCTGCCCACAAGTCACCTGTGATGGGTGCAGGTAGGGCTCCGGGGAGGCCAGATGGGTCTGGACAGAGATGCTCTTTTCGAGCAGAGTCTGGGGGAAGCCAAGTTTCTCGAAGGTGCTCCTCTTCCAGTGTTTGCTCTCCTGCTGGGCCAGGGCCTCGTCCTCACTGAAGGCACGAACCACGGGTCCCGGCATGGGCAGCGGCACTGCGCCGTCACTCTCATACCCAGAGCCGTCCTTCTGGGAGTCCCAGCTACCCCGCTGCTTCATGTGGTAGCGCACCTGCTGTGCCTCCCAGGCCAGCCGGGCCTGTGCCAGGAAGGGCTCACAGGCGCCCCGTGCCCCTTCAGGCTCACCCAGCCGGCCCTCCACGCGCTTCAGCGGGCCCAGGCCAGGCCCGCACAGGGACCGCTCCTCATCCAGGAGGGGCTCACCCAGGGCGTCTCGGTCCCCGGAACCATCAGTGGATGAGGTGTTGGGGTCCTGGCACAGAGAAGGCTTCCTGCTCTTCCTCTTTCGGGGGCCCGGGGAGCAGCCCACGGATGACATGGTGTCCTGCTGGCTGGACCAGGACATAGCATCATCTTGTGTCTGGGGCAGCGGCGTGGGTGGCGGGCCATGGCGGAAGTCGGGCCCCTCCATGCTGCTGTAATCTCCTGACCGGGCGTCCAGGCGCTGGTCCCTCACCAGGCAGGGGCTGGGCTGGAGAGAGTAGGAGCCGCCGCCAGGATTGGGTGTGTACTTATGACGTGGGCCAGCACGCAGCTTGGGGCTGGAGCCGGCCTGTTCCACGTAGACCAGCTGCCGCACATACTCCTTGCCTGCGGGGCTGTAGTCCAGGCTCATGAAGCGCTCGGGGCCCCTCTGTTTTGTGAGCACCAGCTGCTGGTAGGGAGAGGGGGATGCGTGCTTGGGAGATTGCAGGAAGGGGCGAGGCTTGCGCACGGGCGACTTCTGGGGTGAGCCGGCCTTGTAGCCCCCCGTGGCCTCGTACTGCATGTCCATAGGGGGCTCATCGTAGATGGGGGCTTGGTACTCCACAGGGGGCTCCTCATAGAGGGGGGGCTCGTAGGCGTACCGTGGGGAAGACGGCTGGGAGTCACTGGAGGGTTTGCGGGACTGGACTTGCAATGGGGCACAGAAGGTATCACCCCCACGACCTGGAATTGGGGAGCAGCCTCCTGAGAACTCGGCCCTCTTCAGGAAGGGTGATGACCGTCTCTCAGGGAAGAAGATGGTACTGTCTGTGTCAGGGACAAATGTCTGCAGGCCCGGGGAGTGCTGGCCGCCAGATGGCCTCCGGGCACGGGTGCCGGGCTGGTTGTCGGCAGAGAAACCGTTGCCCTGGGGGGCGAGGAAGCTGGGCTCCCGGTCAGTAACCTTGATGAGCATGCGCTCCTTGGTTCCCGTGGTCCACTGCAGTGAGGAGGCCCTGAGGGAGGGGGGGAGAGCATGGCTCACTGAGGCCCCGCATCAGTCACTGTCATCGCTGGGGTCTCTGTGCCCATGTCTTAGGCACCTCCTCCTGTTTCTGCCCATCTCCAGACCCCAGCCCAGCATAAGGCAGAGGGAAGCGAAGTGATTCTGTAACTGATGGGCCCTGGCCCAGCCCACCCAGGCAGGGCATGTGGGCACCGCCTCACGGCCCCTCTCTCTGTGCCTGGACAGAAAAGCAAGGCTGCTGTTCCATCCTGGGACATGTCTGCTGACCGGTGACCACGACAGCCCCACTGTGCCTGGTCCGTCCACCACCCAGGTGCTGCACTTGACCCTGCTCACTCCCCCAGGCTCCAACTGAGAAGCGGCCAGCACATGTGGATGAGAGACCATGCCCAGACACACGTTTGGGCTCTAAGCACCTTCCAGGTGTAGGTGGAGAATGGGGGTGGAAAGCAGGTGCCCACACTCCTCTTTTGGACTCTGCTTAGTCCTCTGGACTCCACCCCAGGGCATCTGCACACGCCACCCATCCCCGGCCACCCCAGAGTCCTTCCTGCATGACAGTACCGCACCTGTGGCTGACCAACAGGCCGCCTGGGTAAGTGCGTGCTTGGTGGGCAGGATCGAGCTCCCACTTGGTGAGTGGGAAGGTCCTCTGTGATTCCCCTACCTTGTGCCCATGTCAAGCTGAAGGCAAAGCAGAGCCCCTCAACTTGTCTCCAACCTCGGTTAGCGTCCACACATGGTACCCTCCCCCCCCAGACAAGGCCGTGAGAAAGAGGCAAGAGGGTCTACCTGTAGTGGAGAAGCGGACCGTCTGTGCCATAGTCCCGGTAAGCCTCATAGTCCTTTTCAAGGGGCACGCCTGGCGGTGAAGAGCTAAAACCAGCACATGGAGGAGGAGCAAGTGTAAGCGGTACCGAGGAAGAAAGAAGAGTGCATTTATAATAACCCACTGCGCAGAGTCTCTTAGGGATGTGGTGCTGCCCTTCACCTGTTCTCCATTTCCCAGGAATGCACCCCCGAGTGGTGGCCCGCGCCCCCGAGCGCCACTGGCTGTTGGCTGATGTCTGAGGGGCAGGGCCAGCAGAAGGTGCTCTCCTGGACACTGCAGGGCTCTGACGCAGTGATGGGTTAGTGGAACCACAGCTGCCACCCGAGGTGACAGGACAGCTGGGAAGGACTCGGGAAGAGAAAAGCCTTGAATCCTCTGAGTAATCACAAGTTCCAAGCGGGTTCTTTGCTGAGACCTCACCCACACATAGGCACTCAGGAAAATTTGTGAGACTGAATGAAAAATAAGTGGGTGATTCCCACAAGGTCAGCAGTTCAAACCCACCAGTAGCTCCACAGGAGAAAGATGAGGCTTTCTGCTCCTGCAGAGATGACAGCCTTGGGAAGCCTGTCACGGGGTTGCTCTGAGCCAGAATTGATCCAATGGCACTTAACAACAATGGAAATATCTATTTATGATTTTTAAAGCTCTCAGTAATCTAGAAGTGGAAGAAAAGTACTTAATCTGATTAAGAAGATCCACATTAAACCAGAATTGCCTTCACACTCATTAAAATCAGGAACAAGAAAATCTGTTCTCACCACCAGTAGGTAATGCAGTTCTGAAAATGCTGGTCAATGCAATAAGACAGTAAGAAAAGTGCAAAGGCTCTAAATACAGAACTAATAACTAAATAAAGAGCACAACCCATCGTTGTCTGTCAACTGGGAAAACCAAAAAGAATTCGCTGAAAGACCACCAGACATACCAAAGAGCTCAGGAACACTCAGGAGACCTGGGGTGTCGCTGAAGAATGAGCACTTGACCTCAAGGTCGGTTTGAACTGCAGGGCTGGTGGTTTCAAGGCAGCAGCTGCTCCTTGGAAACCCTGCACAGGGTCGCTACGATTCGGAATCAACTCGATGGTACTGTAGGATCAGCACTGGGCTTTTAACCCCAAGGTTGGTGGTTCAAACCCACCAGCTGCTCTTTGGAGACCCTACACAGGGTTGTTATGAGTCAGAAGTGACTCAATGGTACTTAAAACAACAGCGGCCAACACTTGTAGATCAAATCAATGGCTTTACTCTAGTCAACAGTCCCACCCAGATGGGTGTCACCTGACTGGGTCATAGGGGTTGGCAGTTAGGCATGATGTGATAAACCAATGAGAGGACAGCTTACTCTCACCACAACTCTGAGACTATGTAAAGTGGTTTTCCAGAGATGTGGCCTGCAACATCACTTATCTTACGTGAGTTAAAAGGAGAGGACCGAGGAGAAAAAGATGGACCGGGAGTGCTGGTGGCACTGTGGGTCAGCACTGAGCTGCTAAGTGCTGAGCAGCATTCAAATCTCCCAATCACTCCATGGGAGAGAAATGACGGTGTCTGTTCCCATAACTATTTATGGCCTTCGGAACCCTCAACAGGGTTGCTGTGGGTCAGAAACACCTCGAAGCACCTAACAACAACAACACTGCCACCGAGAAAGAAAAGTCAAGTGCGTCCTTTGGACCTGGAGTCCCACACTCTGAAGCTCCTAGATCCAGTGAAAGGCTGATGCCAAGACACACGGACATGTCCAGGCAATGCTAGGTCTACAGATCCTGAAAGGGGCAAGGCCTTTACTCAGAACCAATGCTCGGAATTTGGACTTGTAGTCTCCTAACCATGAGAGACTAAGTCCCTGTCTGCTAAAGTCCTCCACTTGTGGTATCTCTGTTACAGCAGCTCCGGAGAACGGAGACAAGCAGTCACTAGTCAGAAAAAATGACAATGGAACCAGAGTTCTCTGTCATGATTGAACCAAAGAACACTCTAAAAACCCATTTGCAGGAGACATCACCACCTGCACCGAAGACCCACATTCTCAGAGCAGCTCCTGAGAACCCTCCACTTAGAAGCTTCCGACCCCTGCCTGGGAAGGGAGGAGCATCTAGGTGGAGCACAGGGAGGCTCTGACCACTCTGACTCTCGAGGCCGTCTCTCCTTCAAGTCTGGGCTCTGCAGCTCTGTGTGTTCAGTCCAAGGAAAGCCGTCACCCACAGAGGGATCATTCTGGAGAGACAAGCAAGGCGGGCCAGAGCTTGGTCACCGAGGAGACGCCCCACCCCTGTCCCTCACCTGCCACTGCTGCGCCCCTCCTTTGTGGCTCCAAACGGCCGGCTTGCCCTCAGCTGTGGCTCTTGTGTCTGCTCACAGGCGTCGAGTTCCGGCTCCAGGGAGTTGCTGGGGCTGCCCTCTCGACTGACAGCACTGCCTCTGCCGGGACTGTTCTCCGCCGAGGCTCGGGGGGACTCTGTGTTCTGCTTCAGGGTCTGCAGCTTGGCCAGCGGGATGATGTCACAATTCTGTGGCCGATGCCACACAGTTCGCTGGGTGGTGGCATTGTAGTAGTAGAAGCGTGATGTATTGGGGTCAAATAGCTCCCACCACTGGTTCTCACTGGTCCGCTTGATGCGGACACCAGCAGGCGGGTCCCACACGCACTCCCCGGTGACCAGGTTGGCGTACATGCGCTCCCGGGTGCGCGGCTCGATGATCTCCACCCATTCCAGTCTAGGAAGGAGCAGAGAACAGCGTTAGCATGAGGAGAGCCTACATTACACTCACACCTTTATAGCAGGAACTGAGCAAACAAGAGACAACAGCCCAATCCGGAACCCCATTCCTGCCTCCCTGGAGACTCCGGACAAAGCTTCCATGGCCCAGTGAGCCTTCCCCAAGCTACCTCATAGGGCACAGGGAAGAGGCTGGGACCACTCAAAACAGACTCCAGGCACCATGTCTGCACACTGGGGTCAGGGGCTGCGGTCAGGAAGGCCTGGCCTCTCGGACACTTTGACCCTGCCCTCTTTTTTTGAAATTTTCACTTTTATTTGAAATAATTTCAGATTTATAAAAGCTTTGAACACTAGTCCTCCCCCAGCTCTCACGCCCCCTGGGCTCTGGGATATGGTCTGCACCGTTGCTCAGTGTCTCCAGTCCCCTGTATACTGCCTTCTCTGGAGCACAGCTTGTGTGTGTGTGTGTGTGTGTGGGGGGGGGGGCGCGTGTCAGGCCCCACCACCCCACCCGTCAATGTTCCCAGAACTTCCAGAGAAGGAGCAGGGACGATGGAGAGACAAATGACTGAGTGAACACACACAAGGGGACAAACCTCCAGACAAAAGAACCCAGGTAAGAGCTGGGAGCCCCTGGGCACACTGGGCGGAGGTGAAAAGACAGAAAGTACAGGTGACCAGGGTCAGCAGCACCAATGGTGGGTGGTCACAAGAACCCACCCCTCGAGTGTAGGTGTCGGAAACACAGCAGACAAATCCCTGTCAGGGGCACCCTACAGAATACCTGGCCAGCAGAATGCCCCTCAGCCTCTGGGCTCCAAACCCCTGAATCAGCAAGGACATTAGTGCTTCCTGGAGGGAGGCGGTGAGGGTGGACGCCAGCAGACACAGGTTCTTTCTAGGGTGTTCTAAATCCGACCTCCAGGAAGGAGGAGCCTGGTGGCAAAGTGTGTAAGTGATTGGCTGCTAACTGAAAGGTCAGTGGTTCAAGCTGCTATGTTCTGATGCCTGACAAACCTGTATGGGTTTCCAAGAAGCAGCTGGTGGGCTTGAACCCACGACCTTGCAGTTAGCAGTTCAGTGCTTATCCTACAGCACCACACCAGAACTCTGTCCATAAAGATTGTTGTTACGTGCCCTCGAGTCTATTCTGACTCATAGCGACCCTGTATAGCGTTTCCGAGGCTGTAAATCTTTGCAGAAGCAGAAAGCCTCATCTTTCTTCCACCGAGCAAATGGTGGGCTTGAACCACCTATCTAGTGTTTCCCCTACAGAGCACTGCACCCCCTCCATAAGCGTGCTGTTGCTGCTGTTAAGTTGGGTCAGCTCTTCACTCAGCTCCTCCTGGCACAATGGGAGGGCAGAGGTGGTGAAGAGCCAGTGAAAGCTCTCACCTACATCCAGGCAGATGCTCGCACACTCAGTTCCTGGCAGCTGTAAAGGAAACACGGAACCGCAAGGGCAGTTTCAGCAGCAGGGGTGGCAGTTCAAACTCACCAGTCCCTCCTCAGAAACCCTAGTCAGGTCGCTATGCCAACTTGGTACTAACAACATGATTCTGGTAGGCCAGTGGTGGGCAGGGCGCAGGACAGCTTGGGACCAGCCCCCGGGGACTCCACTGCCTGGAAAGGGGTCAAGATTTTGTACTGGAGCAACACGGCATCAGGGAATCTGTAAGATAAGCAGCAGACTGCTAACCACAAGGTCAGTGGTTCATACCCATTAGTCACTCTTAGAGAAACCCTATATAAGGTTGCTATGAGTCAGAATTGACTCGATGGCACTTAACGACAACATTGTTTAAAAAGAGGGAGGAAAACAACCCGAGACATGGGTGGGAGCCCCTTCTGTCACATGGGGTCCTAGCACATGAGGCTCGTTGTCTGAGGGTCTGGGACTGCATGCACTGAGCCTCAGGGAGATGACAGAGGGCAGGACCCCTCCGCTATGGCCAGGGGGTTGGCACTCAACTTTTACTGAAGTTAGTGCAAGAGAAATCTCCCTGTTTCTGCTCAACGTTCAAATAACTATTTCCTGAATGAATCTTCATGAGTGTCAAGTATGTGCCAGGCAATCTGCCAGGGATACAAACCAAAAAAGCACATTTCCTACCCTCAAGTTTCTAACAGCTACGGTGCCATTCAAGGGGGAAAGGATGTCTTTTTAACAAATGATCCTGTGGAAATTGGAACTCCGTGAGCAGAATGAAGTCAGAACCGTTCCTTACACTACATACCAAAATTAAATGAAAAAGGCCCAAAGACCTAAATATAAGAGTTGCTGTGGGTCAGACCCAACTCGACGGCACTTAACAACAAACTATAAAACTCTCAGACAAAAACACAGGACTACTTCGTGACCTTCGATTAGGCACTGGCTTCTTAGATATGACACCAAAGGACAAGCAAACCAAAGCAAAATGGATAAACACGAATCGGGCTGCTAATCTCACAGTCAGCAGTTCAAAACGACCAGCTATTTCATGGGAGAAAGATGAGGCTTTCTGCTCCCGTAAAAATTTACAACCTCGGAAACCCTGTACAGGGTCGCTATGAATTGTTATATAACAACAACAAATTAAAAGGAAAACTGTCCAAAACCGTCCAAAAAGTGGAGCTGAGCGGTCAGCTAGGAGCAACTACTGGTCTCTCCCTGCCTGGAGGAAAGACGAGGGATGAAAATGGAAGACACTTGGACACATTCAGTCCAACATTAATACCCATGAGCCGGACACTAGAACTAGGTGGTGCCTAGCTACCACTACCAACTGTTCTGAAAGGGACCACACTAGAAGGTCCTGGGTAGAGTGGGAGAAAATATGGAACAAAACTCAAAATCATAAACAAGAGCAGGCTTATTGATCAGACAGTGACTGGTGGAAGCCGAGGCTACGGCCCTTGGTCCCCCTTCAGGTCTGGAAATGAACTCACCCCCAAGGCTCACGTTTCAGCCAACTAATAAACAGGAGATACACTGGGGGACAAAAAACCCTAGTGGGGTACACACACCATAGAATGGTCAACTTTTGAGATCAAAAGGACGGCATTTACTCAAGGACAAAGCCCAGAAGGGGTGGGAAAGAAGGAGGAATGGAAACCAGACGCCCAAGGAGGAAGTGGGATGAGTGATGTCGCTAGGGTTAGGGGACAGGAGGAAAATTACTGGCGACAGCGGAAAAACCCAGTATTGGCAGCTGTGGGACAGATCAACAAAACCTTAAAAATAATGATCACACCAGGCGGGCAGGATATAAACAATACAGGGAGACATCTCCTTGTACTAGGGAACCCAACGAGGTTTGTTAGTCCTCAATCCCTATTCAGCCCCCCAGCGGGGCGTGCTAACCTTCAGCTATCTCATAGTTCCCACTAACTTCCCTCTTACCAGTTATCAGTGCAGGTGCCCAACATCACTGGGTGAGCACAACATGGCACCTTTAGGGCAGACCTGCTTCCCAAACCAGGATCCTGACACAGAGCGCACTGGTGGGCAGTTGGGTCAGCTATCCCAGACGCCTCCACAACAGAATCCATCTTAAAATTTTAGACTCCATCATGGATGTCAGATGCACATACAACATGGGAAAAGAGAATTAAGGAAACAGCACATGGGAACAGAAATGTGCAAACAGGAAAGTTCACCTCATGTTTGAAACCTGATGACTCTGCCGTTTAAGCCCCCCTCAGTATAAAACAACAAAGATATAAGAAATGAAACAGACACATGAGAATCCTGGAAGGCTGAAGTTGTGAGGAAAGGTTAGAGAAGAGGATGGAGCGCTTGCTGGGAGGAGAAGCTAAGCAGGTACAGTGAGACAGGAGCCTGGTGAACGGCTGGCCAGATGCAGCGAGCCCACCTTGAACTTTTGTGAGCAGCTCTGCCGACAGAAGGTGGCCTGGCAGAGCAGAGTCACACAGAGACGGGAAAGGTGAGATTCCTTCTTTTACCCCACACTCCCCTGGTGACCTGAGTGTGGGAAGCTCCCACCCTCATCCACCTCCAGCACAGACCCCGCTATCTAGGAATCTGGAGCTGCGGCAGCTGGCTGCAGCACTTTGGTGCCTGGGTTCAAGTGGGTTAAACAGTAAAGACCAAAGAC